CAAGGTATGCATATATGTATAATATTTACAAATGACTTACTTTTATCATTTTACCCAAGTAGGGCAAAAACACTGGAAGGCCTTACCCCTTCATTCACCAGTTCAGTTTCTTGGAAGAACTGTACATCGTGCAATGAACACAGGCTTCCAAGACAGTGGAACAAATTGTACCCCTGCAACACACATATCCACACAAAGTATTTCAACCAAATGTATGACACTAATCTAACCTGAAGGGAATCAATAATAGGATAGTTAAAGCCTGGCCATGAACATCTGTGAGTTGAATGCTATGATGCCTGCAAGTCGTCCTAATTCATAAATAACCCACAGCCATCCTGTCGATTCCAACTGCCTCATCTTTCGCCTGTGGAAGTTCTGGTGGTAGATTCGAATCACTGACCTGGTTAGCAGCTGAATGCTTTAACCACTGTAAAACACACACACACACACACACACACTCACTCACTGCCATCAAGTCAATTCCAACTCATAGTGACCCCCTTTGGGTTCCTGAGGCAGTAAAATCTTTATGGAGGTAGACTGCGCAGTAAGTAGACTTCTGCAGAGTGGCTGTGGGTTTGAACTGCCAACCTGGTTAGCAGTCAACTGCTTTAGGTACTGTGCCACTAGAGCTCCTTAATTCGTAAATAAGAGCCCCCTTTTGAAAATTCCCTAAAATATGTGTTAGCTGGGTGTTTCCTCATTCCACATTAGCTGACAACGTGCACAAGAGGAAATCGGATGGACTGGGAAGACAGCAAACTGCTGCAGCAACTGTTCCTGTGTCTTTTAACAGTTAGATATATTCGAGAAAAGTGATTAGAAGGCCCCAGGCTTGCTCAGTGAAAATATGGATAGAAAATAGTTCATCATTTAGAGTAGCTGACTTAAAGGGAAAAAAAAAAAAAAGAGATGGAACATTTTTAAGGCTGTACAGTGTGAATATCTGAAGTCTGAGACTACAGTAATAAAAAGCACTTTCAAGGTTCGAAGCAACAGGTAGGTCAAGGATGCTCCCCAACACCTTTAGGTACCACCTTTGCAAGAAAAAAAGTCCTTTTCATAAACATTCACAAGACACCGACATACACTTTGTGGGATTTTTTTATTTAGGTCAAGTTCTTAGTACACAGCAACAATTAATTCCAAATACAATTAAAAAAATTAAAAAGTGAATGTTCCCCCACTCATCTGGAGGTGGCTTAATGGCACAAACAAGAAACATTACTGGCAACAGACCACTCCCTCACGTTTTCCTACGTGGTCTTTTTGCTCCACTCATATCATCAACCGTCCCCTCTGGGAGCTAAAAGTACAACTGGCCAGATTACAAATTGTTTACATTCTTTTTTGTAAACCATTTTGTTAAGAAAAAGGTGCATGGACACAAAAGTATGATAAAAACTGCTTTTCCATAGAATTCTGAGGTTGCAAAAGACATTTCCATTTTTATGTGAAAATAAGCTTTTGTTTTACAAAAAACCCTCATGGATCATTTAGCAAGGATCATTTTATACACAGCTAAGCCCTGTTCTTCCATTTGTCTTTTTTTTTCCCCCCAAATCAAGACATTCTTAATTAGAAACAAGAACAAAGATCAGCATAAAGTACACTTCAAGTAATGAGCACAATGTCTCTGTCACTTTATAAAGTAACTTAATAAGTAATTTTATAAGGCTCCCAGAGACAGCTGTTAGCGGTGCTCCAGCCAAATGCTGAAATGATAAGGTTTTGCTACAGACACCTTATGGAAGAGACCATTTGCACTGAGTGTGGTTTTAGAAGGGTTAAAATAAAAACTCTTTTCACTAAGTTGCACTTAAGAACATGCCTTTAAAATGACATGGAATACTCTAATGGTATTTATTGAAACATAGCATATTTGTTCAAGTATCTTCCTGAAGACATCAAGTAGAACTCTTAATTTTCAGAGGAAAATATAGCCCGTTCAATTAAGACGACTGTGCAGTGGAAAGAGCACTAGGTGTCAAGTCAGGAACACTACCATGACTGTCTAGCTGTCACGTGGAACAAAACATCGACCCTTATCAATAAAATGAGACTAAACTAAAATCCATTTAGCTCTAAAAGTCTAATTCTAAGTCAATCGTGTGGGGGCAATTAACCACCTTACACCAAACTGGAATGTCTACCAAAGAACTATGGAAGTGATCTCCCCTCTTCAAAGACTTTGTAGGCGGTCACCTGCCAATTCCTCCATCAAACACTTTACAGAGGTAAAGGGGGCCTTCAGGACATCCCTGCACTCTCCACAAGAAAAGGTAGGTAATAAACTGTAAAAGAACAGTTAATACGGAAAGGTCGCCTGCTAAAAGAAAATGAAATAAAAAAGGTAAACACCATTTACCATAGTTTTGATGCCTGTCAAATAAAATAGTATCTTTCCTTAATCAGCATAAGATGGCTAAGGAGCAAGTGACATTACAGACATCACCGTACATTCTCAAGCTGGGTAATCAAACAGCAGCAGCAGCAGCAGGAGGGAAGAGGGGCATGGAAATGTCTCACCCAGTGCCCTTCAGGAACACAGCTCAAGTATGAGGCCCTTGCCAACCCTAACTTTAAAATGGGAACAGCATGTGCCTTTGAGGGAGACATAAATTAAGTAGCCAAAAGATGGAAAATACTGAACAAGACACCATAAAAGATTCATGTTCCAAACAGCAGGCTGAATCCCTAAATCCCTGGGTCTAGATCTTGACACATTGTCACTATTTCCTTACCAATTTTTTACCCTGGCCATAAGGTCAAAGACAACAAGATAGTGTATTTTCACTCATATCCTCATAGAATTTCAAATAATACTGCCTCTGAAACAACAGAACTATTCAGTCACTCTTCTTTTTTTAAAGGAAAAAAGAGTGGACACGTAAGTGAAAAAGAAGCACTTCGGGAGGGAAAAACCCTCTCCCACTCAATCACTTTCCTGATGAAATGGTTGCTTACTGGTTAGCAGACTGCAGACTTGGATCATCTTTGCTGAACGTTAATACATAGCATCGTATATTTCTGCATTTTGAATTTCTGATGCCATCTTTCGTTTATATAAAACTGATAAATGGGGGAAACTTACAATGAAACAGGAAATACTACCCTTACAGACTATTAATTGCATGCAATCTATTAAAATATCACATACATTAAAAGTCTCCAATTACTGTAGGCTTGGACCATCATCATTACATAGTATCCTTCCAAGACAATCTATAAAATTCAAAACTGTACAAAAATAAAAAATATGCAGAAAGTCCAACAGGTACTGTTTTTAAAACAAAAACTGCACACACACATTAGTACTAAATAATATAGGAAAAAAAAAAAAATCACTTGACCGTTGGATTCCTCCACACCCCCGCCGCAGGTCTGGGGTATAAAGGACTTCACCAGTGTCTTCTGCACTCACCAATCCAGCAGGGGGCCACCAGGGAGACTCCACCTCTGATGACCACCACCAACTCTGTGTCTTGCACAACTGTCTTCTCTATTTCTGTAGCTGTGAGCTGTGGGAACTATTTGTTGGATTTCAAAATGCCCTCTGCCTTATCAATCCACTAAACTTTCTCATGAAAAAGCTATTCAATAACAGGAACACCTAATTTTTAAAAAATGTTTTCTAGTTATACACCCAGTACTAAGAAGAGGTTAGATCCATAAAGGATCTCAAGGCGCAGACGACACTCAGGGCCATAACTTTTAAGGAAAATCAGAAATAAGGGATGTTGAGATGGTGACAAGTGGGATGTGTACTGCAGCCAAGTCAATCAAAGTCAAACCCAATGTTGGAAAAATCTGAAAGCAAAATAGTTATGCTAAGCCACAATGTGTGAACACAGACCCCTGGAGCTTTGGCGGGGGAATCCTTGGAAAAAAAAAAGAACTTGATAGCTGGGTGTCAGATATGTGATCAAGTTTTGTGCTCAGGTAACAGATTTACAAGCGGAACAGTAACTTCTGACTACACCATCTAGATTTCCTCACACTACCACTATTTTTTAATCAAGTTCCTCTATTATCCACACTAACCATCATGTTCAAGGCTTACATTTGAAATATATGCAGTTATTGCCTTTCCCCTTTCACCCAGTGAAGTTAAATGACCTGGCAAAACTCTATTCTGGCCAAGTCACTGGGAAGAACCCAGGCTTGCAGCGTTGGGCCAGGCTGTGAGTTGGCCCATCCTTGCAGGATTGATCTACTGAGCCTCAAGGTCTCCTAGGTTTTTTCAGTACTTCTTACAATGATCACTGAGGTGATGAATAGTCATTTGCCCTACTAACTCCACTGAATTTGACATTAATTGTGCAGATTAAGAAAAAGCCAAACTTTGTTATTTTTTTCTCTCAAAGTTATATTAACTTTTATCTGTGTGAATGGGTAAGTTCTGGCTTATTAATCTTCTCCCACTATTATACTCTTCGTCTGAACTACAGGGTTCAAATTCTGACCAGGTACAGTTGCTACCGAGTCCCAGCATTCAAAATCAGGGGCATATTTACCTTTTCTAGAGCTGAGGGAATAAAACAGCTCAGGTAGCAGCAGTGACACTGGCCATTGATGACATTCAGAGAGCACAGCAGCTAGCCTTATATTCTTTGTGACTACTGAGAGACTTGAAATAACTGCTATTTTCCAAAAAAAGATTTTCTAAATAGTGAAAGTAAAGAAATAGTTGGTCTGATCTCTAAGATTTTTACTCCTCAAAACAGCACCTAAGGCAGGGGTCCAGGATGCCTTTGAGGAGAACATGTCTATGTTCAGTCTCTTGAGGACCTTGGAGGCCTCAGGCCACCCTGGCAATGCGAAGCAGCCCAGCACACTGGGAAACGCCTGGGTCCAGTGGCCGTCAGTGGCAATGCAGTCTCCTGCAGCAGCACATTAAATCAACTGGCGCCTGTTAACCACCCTCGGAATACTGTGGGGACTTTCACATTTCATAATTTCATCCTCATAATCTAAAAACAAAGGGATGCAAGTCAGTTCAGCATCAGCTCATCCGGTTCACTCAAGTACTGACAGAATGTAGAATTTACAATGTTAAAGAAGAAATAAGCCATCCAAAACAATGATAAAAATGGTTAAGTGTGGTATTGAAACGGGGTCCCTCCTCCTCACACAAGCTGAATAAAGTGCGGAGCTAAGGGACCTACCTGGGCAGTAAGCCCTCAGCACAGACACTGAAGAGTATCTAATGCCACAAGTTCTGCAGGAGGAGAAATCCCAAGACTGTACAGTATTCCTGAGAAAGATCCCAGATTTTTTCTGACTCAGTCTTACTCTGATTGGTTTTAGCTACATAGTTATGTTGTTATAGCTTTGACACATTCAGAAAGTCACTTTGTTTCAATCCAGAAGGCTCAGCATAGTACAAATAATGGCAGAAAGATCCATTTGTTCAGACTCAGCTCAATTTTTAATACTGGGGAATAAACCAAAAAAACCTAAGTAGTGTTTATCATTTGCATCCTTCCTTCATGTCACTGGAGGGGAATTCCTGGGGCTTCCTGACAGTCTGGGAAGACCTGACTATTGCCGTGAGGAAGCACAGCCCGGCTGAGCTTTACTCAGAGTAATGCATGATGGACTCCACGTAATTGCCGGGAAAGAGACCCGTCACTCCGTTCATAACACCCTCATACCAACCATCATCATTCTTCTTGATGACATAAATAATGGCTCCTTCCTGAAAGGACAGCTCATCTTCTTTGTCCTTTGTATAATCATAAATGGCCACAACTAGGGAAGGAAACAAAACAGGACGTTAAAGAGAGGAGTAATGGTCCTGGAAAGAGCGCGGACACGTGTGTAAACCTCCATCCTTCAGCTGCTCCTGCAGCATTCAAACACAGGGACTTTCTACAGAGAAACCACAACGTCCCCCTCCCTCAACATCTAGTCCTATGCACTGGAATCCCATTTTCAGGGAAGTTAGGTTCTAAACAAATGGCAAAGATCACATTTAGTCAAATTTGCCCTATGACAGCATATGGGAAAGGACCTCACTGAAGAGAGAGAAACAATCCCAGAATCAGAAAAGATGACTATTTCTTCAGTGGAGCTCATGTTTAAGCACCACACTGTATTTTAAAATGCACAGTTACAAATATAATTATACTAGTACTACTCCCCAAGGTTTTGCCCAAGCCAAGCAACTAGATGCCATCTTTACCTTCCTGTCACCTTCTCCCACGTCCCTAAGTTCTGTTAATTCCACTTCCTGAATATCTCAAATCCGAATGCTTTGCCCCATCATCACAGCCGTGGCCCTCACCAGTGCAGCAGTCTCTAACTGGAATATGGTACCACTGGGGGTACCTGAAGACTGAGCAACACAGAAACACAGACGGTTTTACAGAGTAGGAGCCCAGGTGGCACAATGGTTAAAAGCACTTGGCTACTACCCGAACGGTCAGTGGTTCAAACCCACCAAGTGCTCTTTGGGAGAAAGATGTGGCAGTCAGTCTGCTCCATAAAGGTTTACAGCTGTGGAAACTGTATTGGCAATTCTACTTTATCCTGTAGGATCTCCATGAGTTGGAATCAGCTTCATGGTAGTGGGATTGGTTTTTTGTTTTCTCTTTCTGAACTCTTGGTATCTAGAACTATTGCTTCCTAAAACTTATCTGCTTGAGATGAGGCCTTCAGTTGGGCACCAGTCACGAATGCTCTCATTTCCTTGTTGTTACTCTCCTAAAAGTACAGTGGTGCAGTGTCCTGAAGTACAAAACACTTCTGGGTGCCAAAAGGACAATTCAAAACACTGGTGTTTATATTTAGAAAGCAAATTACTTTATCTAGTGGCATAGTGCCTAAGGCCTCTGACTGCTAACCAGAAGGCTGGCGGTTCAAACCCACGAGCCACTCCTCGTAAGGAAGACTGGGCAATCTACTTCTGTAGAGACACCGTCTCAGAAACCCAAGGAGGGGTTGCGATGAGTCAGATCCAACTCGACATCAGTGAGTTTGGTTTTGGTTTTGTTTATTTACTGAGGATCCTAAGCCTTTGGCAAGTCAGGTGCTCTCATTTCTTTGCTTTTAACAAAATTTAAGAAAGACTATACTGGAGTTATCAGCTGGCACATCATAAAACATGGTTTTATAAAAATGGAACATTTAATTTTTGGCAAATAACTGAAGATGTTAAAAGAACTCAATGACAGCACTGTATGAGAAATCCTTCCATTTTCTTCTACTTATTTATGTAACCAAGGTTTTCAGTACCACTGCCGCAGATGAGGTCTTCTCTAGTTGAGGAAAGTATCCAACCTGATCTACTCAGTTCCTGTTCTTCCTCCTTTCTAATGAATGCACTCTGTGCTATTATCAAAAACCAAGTTAAAATATAAGTACATGGAATCTTATTTGCCTGCTTAAACATCTTCCACAGTTTCCTCTACTACCACTATAAAATAAAAACAAAACAAAAATTCCAAACACCTTACCATGACATGCAAGGCCTCCCACCACTGAAAACAACTATCTTCCCTTCCTGCACTCACACACCACCACTCTCCCCCTACAAACCATCCATACATGTAAGACTCCTACTCACTACTCTCCAAACAGCCATGCATTTTCACTTGGGGAATTCCCTCTGCCTAGAATGCCCTTCCTTTCTCTCTCCTCTGCCTGGCAAACTACCAGTCATCATTCCAAACACAATATAAATGTCATCCTCTGCAAGTTTTCTAGGAATCCCCAAATAGAACTGAGAGCACTATTCATTGTTTAAGGAGCTCTGGTGGCATAGTGCCTGAAGCATTTGACTGCTAACCAGAAGGTTGCTGGTTCAAACCCATCAGTCACTCCACGGAAGGAAGACAGAACAATTGACTTCTGTAAAGAGTTACCACCTCGGAAACCCAGCAAGGGTTGCTACAAGTCAGAATCAACTCAATGGCAGTGGGTTATTTACTGTTTGACAATCATTAATGAAGCATCCATGCTGATTTTTAGATAGTGAGGAGAGAAATGTTATTCAATCAATTACCATTCATTGTTTATACTTCTAGGTAGAAATTATATAATTTAGCCAGAAAACTCAAGAACAGACAGTTTGATAGACGGAAGGGACATAAACATGGCAGTGGCAACTAAGTAGGAGTCTTCCAGGAAGAATTTAATGCTAGCAACTGGTATGGCTGAGACTCAACCCCAAGTCTGGCCAGGTATCAGAGAGCAAGCTTAGGGCAGCATTCCAGAGTGTGGCCTAGTTCGAATCCCAATTCTACCGCTGATCAGTTTATAGAAAGTGCTAAACTTTTCTAAACTTCTTTTTACTCAACTGTAAACTGGGAATTATAACATTGCTAGTATCTCAAAGCACCATATTAAGTGAGGCAATCTACATAAAATACATAGCTCAGGGCCCTGTACATGAGAAAAACTACACACACACACACGTATACCTACATACATATATATATATATATATATATATATATATATATATATAAGCTGTTTTTAGTAGCATTAATAACTATTATGATATACTGCCTTTTCTGTAGCAGTGTGACATTTTCTGTTATATTCTTTAAAGTGTAAATTATTTTTCGAACCTTAGTTTTCTACTTTGCAAAATGGGGAGACTAACTGCCTTAATAGGTAATAAGCCTTGAATTGTACCAGGCACATAATGAATGTATGATAGTATTTTTTCTCTTCCTCAACTTAAACAAAGATAAATACATACATACATACAACATTGTATCTGCACTCAGTTAGCACAAGCAATAATCAAGCTATGCCAGTGGTTCTCAATCTTATCTGCACATTGTAATAACTTGAGGAGCTTTATAAAATTGTGATGTCTGCGTCCCACTTCCAGAAATTCTAGTTTAATAGGTTTGGAAGTGAAGATATATTTAACTTTAGCTCCTAAGATGACTCTCATAATATGCAGAAAGGGTTATGAACCAGGTCTTAAAAGTCTGAAATAGCAAAATGAAATAGCTTTAACCTTTACACACACTAAAACAAAAAGCAATCGTAAGCTGGAACACAGTTTTTAAATATAAACCAAAATTTGAAAAACATCTTAAGGAGCCCACCTGGTAAGCACGTGGATTGGCTGATAAAACAGTAAGGCTCAAAGAAGCGTCCAGATAGAGCGCCTCCCGGAAGGAGAGCTTCCTGGGGAGGGATATGCCCCCCACTCAGGGACCTTTCCAAATCTCACCCAGGTGCCTCTTCAAGCTGCTCCTGTGTCCCTCCTGATGTGCACAGTATGATTTACTCCTGCCTGTTTGTATCCTGTTACTTCTGACTTGTGTCCTTTACCCTAAAAACCACACACCTGAAGCAGAGTCTGAGCTGTGCGTGACGCCGCAGTAAATTACTGAACTCGGCAGAGAAAGTGCCATGAGGGAGAGGACACGTGGTCACAGACAGCAGAGGAGCTGAAGAGGCCCACTTCTCTGCCTCCCAGAAAGCAGCTGTCCGCCAGTTCTCATCCGCAAAATTGCTCAGTTCAGTCTTACTTTATAGAAATATGAATCTCTGCCTTTTACATTTAATACAACTACTTCTATGGTGGGTTTTAATCCACCATCTTGTTATTCAAATTCTATTTGTCTCATCTATTTTTGTGCCCGCCTTTTTCCTCTGACTTCTTTTGAACTGTGTTTTATTATTCCACTTTATCTTTAATACTCAGATATTAGCTGTATTTCTTTTTGTTCCTTTATTTAAGGTTTATTATGTATCTTTGTTTCAGGCTACCTTCAAATATCATCATACTACTTCACATATTAACAGTGGACTTGACTTCTCTTTTTCATCTGTGCTAATGAAGCCACTTCTGTTTGCTCTAAACAGTAAACAGGTAATTTTATAATTATTATTTATATTAAAGTTGCTTACCTTTAAAAGTGATTATAGTATCAGAAAAATATCTATATATTTCCCTATTTACCATTTACTGCACTCTTTACACCCTTTTATAGACCTGAGATTTCAGCCAGTATTATCTTTCTTCTACCTGAAAAGTTCTTTTAATATTTTTAGCATTATCTCTGCTAGTGATGAATTTTCAGTTCCCTCCATGGTTTTTTTGGTTTTGGTTTCAGTCCATAAAAGTCTTTAATTTTGGAAAAATATTTTTGCTAAGTAAAAATAGCTTCAGGGGGACAATCATGTCTTTCGTTACTTTAAAGATGGTGCTCAACGCCTTCCGGCATGCATGCTTCCATGGGAGCTGTGTGGTCATTCTCATCCTTGCTCCTCTAATGGGTCTTTTTCTCTGACACCTTTAAGGCTTTCTCTTTATCACTGGTTTTTAGCAATTTCATTATGATGGACCTTGGCATGGGTTTATTTATGTTCCTTCTATTTGGAGTTCAGTGAACTTCTTGGATCTGAGTTTTTATGAAAGGCAGTTTGGCTCCCAGTGATCAATGCCTTATGGTACTCATGCCCTTATACAGTCCCTACCCCAAGAGTGTGGGCTGAACCTGGTAACTTGTTTTTAAAGAACAGAATATGGCAAAGTTGATGGGATGTCACTTCTAAGATTAGATGGCAAGACACTGGGACTTCTGTCTTGCTTATAGGGTCTCTCCAGCCCTTCCTGCTGGCTCAGTCTGGTGAATCAAGCTGTTATGGTATGAGCTACACTGTGGGGAGGCCCTGTGGCAGGGCAGCCTCTCAATAACAGCCAGTGACAAACTGAAGCACTCAGTCCTACATCGAAAAGGAACTCAATCCTGCCAACAACCACGTGAGCGAGCTCAGAAGCAAATCCCCCTCCAGATGAGCTTCGGGATCGACGGCTGCAGCCCGAGCTGATGCCATCTGAGAGTCTCTGAGGCAGAGGCCTCAGATAAGCCACGTACAGAGACTCTGAGACAGTAATTTTTTGTTTTAAGCCATTAAAATTGGGAATAATTTGTTATGTAGCACCATGTACCTAATACAGTTGTCATCAAATCTGGGACACTTTGGCCACTGTTCAAATATGTTTTCTTTCCTTTCACCTCTCCTGAGGACTCCAATTACATATATAAAAGACTGTTACTATTCCACAGCTCCTTGGTGCTTTGTTTTTGTTGTTTGCCTGTTTTCTCTCTGGCTCATGCCACCTAGTTTCTATTGCTACAACCCCAAGTTTTTTGTTTGTTTTTTCTTCTGTAGTGTCATTTCAGACACTGTAGTTTTCATCTGTAGGCATTCCATGTGGTTTCCCTTTTCTTTTCTTTTAAATATATTTAATTTCTCTTTCATGCTCATGTTTTTCTTTACTTTCTTGAATATACGTGGCATATTTATATGCATATTTATATGTGGCATGCTCCTATGTAGAGGTTCCTTCCCATTCTTCCAGATACCACTCTAAAACTTACCCTTTTCTAAGTAAGATCTTGGAGCCCACGGAGGGTCCTCTTCAGCATAAGGATCACTATACTCAACCACAGCTGCTTCCTCTTCTTCATAATCTTCTGGAGGAGGAGGTGGAGGGGGAGATTCATCAAAGACTGGTTCTTCCACAGGTGGTGGTGGAGGTGGTGTATCTGAAACTAAGAATGTATTAAGCTGACAACAAAACTACACATACAAAGTTCAATATTTCCCATACAATCTTCTATGTTCATGGAATATAAACCTTGACTTGAAAATAACAATCTTGCAAAAAAATGAGTGGGCAAGAAAAGGTGCCCCATCAACTATAATGTTCCAATTCTCTAAGCATGACTATCTCCCTCTTCAGTTAGTACTGATTTTGTTTGTTTGTTTGTTTATTGTGATTTGGGTGCAAATATACAAAGCAAGTTCATTTTACTCTCAACAGTTCATGCATATTTGGTTTCATGGCCCCAATTACAATCCCAACAAAGGTTAATACTGACATTGAATAAAGTTTGGCTGAAGTAATTATTCTTAACTGAGCCTCTCAAATGTGCTTCTGTTAATATATATCCTCTTTTTCAAAGAATGTGGTCAGTATAATATAGTTTGGTTTTACACCATACCCAAGGAGGAATGATCACAAAAATTTTAATAATTTAGATATTTATAACCATATCTGATATACATATAAGACTATGAGTCCAATGAACAGTTAAATTTTAATGATCTGCTATTTTACTCTCAATGAATTATTTTAAAAGCATTTTGCCAAAATGGAGATAGGGGAGGAATCATGGACAACTTTAGGTAATTTCATCTAAGAAGATGTTTGTTTTTCAACAAAAAACTGACTGCCATCAAGTCAATTCCAACTCACAGCGACACCCTTTGAGTTTCCAAGGAGGTAAATCTTTACAGAAGTAAACTGTCCAGTCTTCCTTCCACATATACATATATTGTTGTTGTTGTTGTTATGTGCCATCGAGTCAGACCTGACTCATAGTGACCCCTCCATGGGTTTCCGAGGTGGAATCACTACGAAAGTAGATTGCCCAACCTTACTTCTGAGGAGTGGCTGGTGGGTTTGAACTGCTAGCCTTCTGGTTAGCA